AAAAATGCGGGTCTAGATTGCACTGTTTTCATTCATGATACCATGAGCCTAAATTATTGGACGCGGAGCGATGGGTTCAGATCACTGGCCACGGCCAACATCAGTGGCGAATTATATTTATGCCAGTTCTGGTACCCCCGCAAACTCGTACAACCTACAATGCCCGTCGTGGTTGAACTTATAGTCTCAGAATCCCTGTCTCAATCAACCCACACACACAAATATCCCCCGTATAGCCTAACAGACTTCTGGGGCAAGTGCTGTTTAGCGAGCACCTATAAAAGACCAGCACGGCACAACGAGGGGGGTGGGTGTCGAGCAACCATCACCGGCCGCCTTTGTCTCCCCAGTGGGCGACGCTTAAACACAAACGCACACACTAGCTGTCACACGCCCATGTGTCACGCGCACGATGTCTCTCTCACAAAACACAATGCCTCTCTCTCACACACATGCTTAGTGCCCCGAGCCTCGTGGCGCTGTGTTCAGCCCGGCACCTGCCCGCACTCGCACGACGCTTCTTCGTGGTTCGCGTGAGAAGTCAGCCCGCGGCAAGCAAAAAAAAAACTGGAGGTTTTCTGTCTGGATCCGAACTCATACCCCGGAGATTAAATTACAAAATGCTGTACCCGAAACGGAGACATCCCGCTAAAGTAATCTGGATACATTGTGCAATGTTTCCCAAGTTCTTACAGCTTAGCTCATTTCGAGAAACGTCTAACGCGCATCTTCCACAGTGCTGTTTGTTGCTGACCGCTTGGCGTTTTGGGAGCTTTGGGCCGTGCTTAGCATCTGTGGATAAATAAATAAAAAATAATGTTTCAAAACCACTACTGTACACGTCTAATATCAATACGCGTATTAAATGTTAACCATGTCCTCTGTAAGATATGGAAGCCGTAACTTTCACAATATTTAAAAGAGCACACCGCCGATGGCTTTCTAATGTCGGAAGAAAGAGAGTTCCAGACGGCCGCAGAAACGCATCTGAAAATAGTGTGACCACCATTGAATTGCCCGAATTTCGTGTTCTGCAAAGACAGGATATTTAAGACGTAGGCTTTCGCGACCAATATATTCATAATACCGATGTTTTGGGTTAGATCGCGTCAATATATGTGTCGTTAATCACGCAAACACTCACCTGATTAATCTAGTTGTAATTACTGGCAAAACGTCGTACTCAGATTGTAAATGTTGTGGCTTTGCTCTCCAACACACCGGTGTGCTGTATTAGTAACGAATTGGCATGTTCTGTTTACGTGACAAACCTTACTAACTGGCTGTGTCGGGGGGTGGTGGCGGGTTTAACGACACATTTATACAATTACGCGATCTAACCCCCCCAAAAAAACCTGTGTTACGAAAGACAGGATGCTCGGGCGAAGATGATGCGTCAGCAAAGAGGGTAGATGATCGTGGTGGTGGTGATGCAACCGACTCCTTGCAGACGATGAACAATGACGTCAACTCAGCGGTTAAGCCGAACGGCATCCACTAGAGGGAGGTCTCGAGGCTCTTTGGTCGACTCGTCCACGTTTGCCAGACGTATTGCAAGATGCGGGCGGACTCACATTTTGCCCCACCACACGCAGCCCGCCGATCGACTGACTGCGATGCACCCATTTTTAACTGCTGGGTTGATTTTAGAGAGAGGTGGGGGGGGGGGCAATGCCAAGTTTCAGCTGCCAGGCCGGGAGATCGAGTAAAACCAGCTGCCCCAAGTTCAGTGTGCTCAATGTTAAGCATGTTACCAACGGCAGTTGCATTGGTTTCTCAGCTGAAAAGGCAGACATTGTACGATTATCACGATACACGTGGGGCAAACCTGTAATTGATTTAAACACCCCCCCCACAATAATGATAAATGACCAGTATATGCGTTAGTAGTCACAGCCATACGAAGCGTGCCTCCGTGCATTCATCACCCAAGTCTGTGTGTTTGTGTTCACATTGTGTGTGAGCAATACATTGCAATCAAATGCTGGCGGGGTTGCTCAATATTTTGTCTGGATTAATCTACTGAGAAGTTGGGACATTTTGTTCGCAAGGCTGTCCAGTGACTCGTATATAGCAAGCACGTGATGATCCAGGGCGGACGCGACCGGGCTGCTGGAGCGGGCCCTGAACTGCCAATTGTTCCTTTAGCCTCCCACCCAAGTTTAATTCCACCTACTTAGCGGGGGCTATCATTGTTTTACGGTGACCCACGCAAACCAGTTCCATGTCCCACCTCCACCCCCCTCCTGCCCGATAGTGAGTCAGGCTTCCCGAGAAATGACACCTGGCAAGGACATACAGACACACGTCTTAAATCTACAATATATAGACACAGTAAAATGCGTTTACATATGTAATTATGACTTTACACACTTCTCTTGAGGTGGCACTTTATTGAAGGCACGTTCACTTGACATCAGGGGGAGATCCCCACTGCAACAGCCCAGAGTCTCCTGCGCATCTCCCCCTGATATCTCAACACGAGGTCACGTCCCCCTTCTCGATCATTCTCGCTGACTCTGGACGCTCCCTCTAACGGCAGACTCCACCGTCCTCTTCCGTCACCTGACCTCGCTCCCTTCTCGAACATTCCCGTGGCCACCAGTCCCTTCGCACTCACAACTGACTCCCCTGTCATTACCCCCCGTGGCCACTAGTCCCCTCACACCGTATGCAGGCTCCATTGTCATCACACATATATCACGTACACATTCATAGAGTGTACTGAACAGGATAAATTACACTATTCTTGATTTTATTCTACTAGGTACGGTCTTGTGAACTATATTGCTCTGTTTCAGAAGTTACCTGGCGACGAATGATTGCTCAATAAAATAACTTACCACGTGGAAATGTCAAGCACCCAGGAGGAAAAAACCGGAGAGCGCGGAGAAAAATACATGCGACCACGGGGAGAGAGAGACGCAAACTCCAAATATAAAGGCGTCAGGGTCGGAATCGAACCCACGACCTCCTGTATACCAAGTGACGTAGTTAAGACAGGCAGCGCAACACGCACGGACATCACAGCACACTCACACCCACACATGGATGTTGCGAACCACCCATTCAGAAAGGAACTTTCCCTACATGTGGCAACTCGGCCCCAAATCATCCATCATGAGTTTGACCTGTAAAGGACGGGCCCGCGAATCCCTCCCGGTGTATCACAATTGACACGGTGTTTCATTTTATTCACCACCCCACGGAGGTGATAATGTGCTGAGTTGTCCCGAGCTGGGATTCCGAACTCAGGCAATTCTGGCTTATGTGCTCGCTGCTGTAGGGAATGATCACTACGTGCTGTAATTGAAAGCAGGATGGATGATGTGAGTGAGCCTCTCTCTGCGGAACGGTATGTGAAACATGCAATATGGAATTTGTTTCTTCTGTTGATGTCCGCGTGCGAACTTAAAGTAGCCAATAACAAAATAAAGAACGATTCCTCCCCGTGTTTATCTCTCCACACGAGGAATTCGTTACGCAACACATGGGCTGTACTTGCAGTACGTGCTTTTGGGAGTGCGTCTTATCGGCAGCATCGATTCGATACCATCAAACTCTGGGGCCGGGTTTCGATGTTTAGTGCACCATCAGCAGAGTCGGGTTTGCTTCGGCCAATGCCTGCAAACTGCCAGATGTTAATGGGTCAAGGACCCTGGAAAGGAACCAATATTTTGAACACAAGGCAATTTAGATGTGCATATAGCGTTTCATCAGCATGGTGTGGTTTACAACTATACTATCGTATTGTTTAACACGAAGGCTTTCGCGACCAATATCATCCATAATAGGGTTTTTTGGGGGGGTTATATCGCGTAAATATATAAATGTGTCGTTAAAACCCGCCACCACCCGACACAGCCAACTAGTAAGGGTTGTCACGTAAACAGAACGTGGCCAATTCGTCACTAGTACAGCACACCGGTGTGTTGGAGAGTCAAGCCACAACATTTACAATCTGAGTACGACGTTTCGCCAGTAATTACAACTAGCTTCATCAGGCGACAGACAGATTTGTGGAGAAGTCTGTTTCGTTCCTTGTATAGAGGCGTAGAAAAAACACCCTCTATTATGTATACGACAGTATATAATAACTATATTTTACCAGATACGGTCCACTGAGCTGTATAGCTTTATTCAGAAGCGACGTGGCCTCAAATGATAGCTCAATTAAGTGACCTTTCATGCGGAAATGTATAGCAGTCAAATTCTCTAAACGCGTGTTTATAACTGTGAAGGGGAAAACTGGAGGACCCGGAGAAAAATCCACGCGACCACGGGGAGAACACGCAATCCCCAAATATACAGCAGCAGGCGTCTGAGGTCGGGATCGAACCCACGACCTCCTGCACACCAGGCGAGGTAGTGAACATCTCCTAGCCACCGTAGCGCCCCGCAATAAATTCAGCTGGGTTGCTTGACTTTCTTCTGTAATCTACAGAACAGTTCTCAACCGCACGCGTGGGGCCAATGTAGTGTGCCACAGCATCGTTGCACACAACGATTGGCACCGTGTCAAGTGTGGGTGACATTCCACGATAATTAATCACTGCCCTCTTCTGGCCTCTCTTCACGAATACAGCGAATTGGCCATCCTCGCCCGCCACCACGATGCACAAAGCCATTGTTGGTTGGTGGTGGCGGTGGATCGTGACGGACGCTGCTGCTACTGGGCAGTTGGAGGCAGTCGCCCTCCAGCAACAACGGAGGGCGGAGGAGCAACGCTCACAACAACGTGCGAAGCGCCGGACGGTTAAAATGAAGGAAGTTGGCACAGTCAGGGGTACAGATGGTGGTGCATCTCTCAGTCATCTCGGCCAACCCACGGCACCTGCCGGGTCTGTCCCGAGACCTCCTCCTGTCAGCGAGCCTTCGACACTTCACGTGGCCTCAAGGTGCACCTGGCCTGGCACAGGTGCTGTGGTGACGTCAACGTCACTTAAATGGCGAATGGCGGGCGGGCGGGGATCCGACGTATGTTGATGACGTCACGCCACCGGCCGGTCGGGTCCCTCGGAGGGGTGGCGAGCCGACGACATGACGTCATCGCTCCTCTCTGAGCGGAGCGATGACGTGGGAGAGCGTGGGAGTCTGTGGGAGTTGTGACCCGACATGTGTTGAGGTAGCGGAGGAGGTTGGAGGTAGTTGGTGGTGGTGGTGGGGGGAGAGCTTCACGGGCACAGTGGGGCTGCAGAAAGGGTGCAGGGGAAGGGATCCCTAATCTAGATTTGAAGCTTTCGTGACTGTAGGAATCCATCCTCTTTGGTTATTTAGGTTAAAGTCACGTGGGTAGAAATAATATTTTATTTCACGTAGGTATAAATAAAATAATATTTTACTACTACTACTACCAACGTGACTTTAACATGATACTTTAGTTCTACCTACGTGACTTATCGTGAAAGAACCAACGAGTAAGGAAGGGGGTCCTGCCCGAGAGACTAGAGAGGTGAGGGAGGAGCGAGCGAGTAGGGGCGCGGGCAGACGTGTTCGTCTGGCGAGGTGTGTGGGGAGAGAGGTACAGTGCTGGGAGACAGTGGGTGGTTACTATAACAGAAGAGAGATAACGAACGATACACAAACCTAAGGAGCTAGAGAGAGAGGGAAGGGGGAGAGACGAGGAGCCAGATTAAGAGATGTAATAACACTAGTATGGCTCAATCTCCAAGCGTCTTCACGAGTTGAACCCGCCGCGTCGTAAATCGAAGCTCAGCTATATCGCTTACACGCGTCGTAAAAACACACGCACACACAGGGTACTTGATTAGTATTGTCGTAGCGTAGTGTTAGTAGTAATATATATTTGTTTAAAATTTATATATTGTTAGTGTGTGAGATAGCCGTGTAAAGTCTGTGGGGAAGCCTGGAAGCGATGGCATCTGTCAGCTCGACTCAAGCCAGCGAAGGCAATGGTGAGTGTAGTAATGGTGAGTGTTACACTTTGTACATAGACACAAAGAACAAACAGCTCCCCCGTATGATGGTGAACAGGCTGTTCGGGCAAGTGTTGTTTGCGAGCACCTATTAAGGCCGGCACTGTGGGACACGAGGGGGTGGTGGTGGTGCTGGTGGAGGGGGTGGGGTTGGTGGTGGTGGAGGGGGTTGGTGGTGGTGAAGGGGGTTGGTGGTGGTGGAGGGGGTTGGTGGTGAAGGGGGTTGGTGGTGGTGGTGAAGGGGGTTGGTGGTGGTGGAGGGGGTTGGTGGTGGTGGTGGTGGAGGGGGTTGGTGGTGGTGGTGGAGGGGGTTGGTGTTGTTGGTGGTGGAGGGGGTTGGTGGTGGTGTTGTTGGTGGTGGAGGGGGTTGGTGGTGGTGGTGGAGGGAGGCCAGCACCACGCCCGGCCGCCTTTGTTTCCCCGGTGCCAATGTTTACACATCCACACAGCAGCAGCAGCACACCGCGGCTGTTTTAAACAACTTAAGGCTGAGTCGACCCAGGGAAGGCCCAGGACAAGATTCTCTAACACACACAAACGATTGTATAGTACTCTGTTTTATTGACTGCATTACATAATACCGCATCCCTTTTAAACTGTACAAACGTGCGTGTTTAACCGCTAACAACGCTAAAGAGAATTACAGTACGAACATTAGTTACAGTTATCGTATGTGCTAAACAAAAGTAGCGAACTTATAGCAAGCGGGGCTGCGTTCTTACGAGTCGCGTATTAGAGGCGCAGGTCCCCCGTGTAGCGTGCACGGCATTTTTGGGGCAAGTGCATCAGGACGGGGTTACACAGGAGCTTGCTTGCATTGAACCAATATTGATGTGGCCCCGTGTACTCCCCAAAACGCCTTCTTATTTAGTTAGTGGGAAGTCTAGAAAAAAATTAATTGCGTAACAGTTCTTAACCAATATTCAGAGTGGTGCGGTGAGGTTGCACACTTTTTCCGATAAGACATTATCATTGGGGGTTCGATGATGATGATAGGGGTGTTTTCACTAATTTGTGTATTGTTCAGGTCGTCGAACGTCAAGGGCCGCATGAAAGGCCGCATGAAAGGCCACCAGGAGGCCGCCGGTGGCCCTGCGGGCCTTTGCCAACAAGAAACACTGCCGTAGAGGGATGGGTATGGGCTAGGGGAGATGCTTTTGTGTATCTTTATCGGCCTGCCGTGTGGCTGATGGGATTGGATGTGTACAAAAAAAATTGGAGATAAATCATCGGCTAATTTGTTTCGTCGCAAGAGATGCGTGGAGCGGTGGCACGCTTGAACTTGCACTGATAGACCAGGACAGGGCAGACGTTGACTCACAGGGCCACAAGAGCACAATCGGAATAAGATTGGGGGATATGGTTATTTTCACTCATTCGATACTTGTGTAGTGTCAACGATTCAGAGACAGAGTTTGTAGGAGGCACTTTCTTTATTGACAACTTCCACGGTCTCGTCCACACACTCTCCACAGTAGCTCAGCCTGGCCTGTACACAACACCAGCCGTCTAACACTGACGGCGCTCACTGAGATAGCCAACTGCTCTCCTTCGTAGCGCGATGTCTAGCGGAGACGTTCAGCGACGACGAGACGAGTCCACTCCCAGAACCGGCAGCCTCGAGCTCCCCCCTCTCGGCTCCTTTTATGCTCCCAGCGCGGCCTGGCTCCGCCCTGACCTCGCCTCCCTTCTCGAACCCGCTAGCAGGTTCCAGGGGCCTCCAGACGGGGTCCTCCGTGATCTTTGCCCTCGTTCCCCCTCTCTGCCAACCCAACGTGCACACCCTCACCGGCGTGTGTGCTGTCTGTTTACCACACTTGCCGCTGCTGCCCACCAGCCGGCGCTATTACACTACACTTGCAATGGCTATGGGTCATTGCCACCGATGAATACGCGCTGGCTCTTGAGCCTTTAAGAAGCTGTGCATATTGGCGTGTCCTGGCGCGTGAAACCTATGGCCACGGACGGCTTATCTGGTTGCCTCAATGCCCCACAGATGTTTCCTGTTCAGAGCGTGCAGTGGTCAGCGTGTGTGGTGTGTGTTAAGTCTGCTGTCCTTTGTCGATCCACTCCTTATTCACAGTTCCCAGCTGGGGAGCAGCAGTGCAGTGGTTAACGCGCCGCACTCAGTCCATCATGGGTGACGAATATCTGAACCGGTCCTGGTCCTCCCCTAGGTCGACTTGGCCTTGAATGAGTACTGTATTGTACCTTTTGCGGTGTGTGTAAAAATTATCAGTGGGGGAGACAAAGGTGGCAGGGCCTGGTTGCGGCCACCCACCCCCTCGTGTGCCATGTTAGCCTTCAAAGATCATTGCTGACAGCCCTTGTCCTAATGGTTTCTAAAGGCTATACGGGGGAATTAAATCTCAATGAAATCCGTACACTGCCCTTTGTAAGAATGTTATTTGTGGCAGGGAATCGAACCCAGGTCATCGGGATCATAGAACAATACACTAACCACTGCTTCGTATACAACACGGAAAATTACATTATAAGACGCAGGTATTTTATTTAGGATATTCTAGCGGAGTCTCAAGAGACCTTGTTTTAACCCTTCTGCCAGCAGTGCTGCGAGCGAAAAATTGCAGAGATGCACTTTTCGCTTTTAATTTTTGGTTTACACTTATAAATTGTTTTGCTTAAAACCACAACATTTCGTGCAATCAAATAACTTTGAATGCGTCCAATCTCATCAGATCCAAGAAGCCAAGCAGGGATGAGCGTGGTTCGTACAGTACAGTACTGATTTTGAATACTAGGTGTTGTTTGGGCTTGGTTGGCAAAGTGGCCAGGAAATAAAAGCACAGCACTGCACTCTTGAATCCACGCATTGTGTGGTGGGTTTTCTCCAGGTTCTTCGGTTTCCTCCCGTAAGAAGCCAAACACGAATAATTATTGGACTTGGCCAAACCACCAAAACGGATGCCCAGATATTGTGGAATTGGGTTGCAGCTATGAAGCATGGGCAGGGCAGCGGGCACAGCATCAGAGAAGGAGCGACTCAAATGCCGCTTGCGTCCGTCTCTCCCCCACTATTATACAACTTGCAGACGACGTGTTCAGCGGTGATGGCGGAGGCGGAACGGACGGCACCTTGGCAAACGAGGTCCTGCGCCAGCTGCCGAGCTACCGTACCATGACGATGACGCTGCGGGTTGCCCGGCGCGCCAGCGCGCGGACGTTGGCGCGCCGGCGCAGCGCCTCCCGCGCCCGCGGAGCCTCGCTGGCCTCGGAGCTCACGACCGACTCGGCGTCCAACGGCGCCGGCGTGGCGCAGGCCGCCCCGGCACCCGTGCGAGACATCACTGTGTGCATGGCCGCCAAGAGGGTGGAGCGGTGAGCAACTCCCTCTGGCGGCAGCTCCACGCCCCGAGCGATCGGTTGAATGCATCCCGGTTTCATTCGGGGATGTCTCTGCAACCGGTTGCCCGCAGGAGAGAGGCGGACTCGGCTTCCAAGTGTCGACCCGCTTGGCGATTTGTAGCATCGTGTTTCATCGCGTGCTGCACATTTGCGTACCCGTGATTTGTTGTACATGATTGATTGTACATGATTGGTTGTCACAACCCCGATGTGGGTGGGGGGGGGGATAACCAGAAAAGGGGCGGGTTTATACTGGAAAGGGGCGTGGCCAGACACATTTGTTGTGCAACCACTTGCTCAGATGTGGACAATACATTTGCAGAGGTTTAGTAGTATGGTTTGGTCATGCCACTGATCACTCGGGTGTTGACTCAGGTCATTTGTCTACAGTTCAGATGTTTAATGATTTATCGTGAATGGTATTTGGACAACCGTAGAAAAAGTACGGTTGACTTCCCCGCAAAGCTGTTCTCTTTTTATCAACCCCGGGAGGGATGATGAGCTGAGTCAACCCTCCCAACAAGGATTTATTTGTATCTATATATATTAAATATGCATATGCTCTAATCTGTAACTAAGTGCACTGTCACGTTTACACAGGATCCGGAGGAAGGACAGCTCGGCGCAGCTGACCACGTGGCAGGGTTGGAAGCGCAGTCAGTGGAAGAGCCTCAAGCGCCTCAACACCTTGGTCAAGTCCTGGCTCAAGGGCCTAGTGCTCTGGAGGTCCTCAATCCACCAGATTGAGGGTGAGTGACCAAACCCTGAGGGGTGTCTTTTTCTTTGTCTTGAATTGATTAAATGTGGGTGCATTCAGAAATCTACCATGGTGTGATGGGTGTGGTAGTTGAAAATATGGGTGCAGGTTCCTTAACTTCCACCCCCTCCCATGCCCCACCTACACTGCCTCTGTCCACCCTCTGGCATAAATGGGTTCAACCACAGGTCTATTAGCAGGGCACGTGTGGTGGTGTGGTAAATTGAGAAAATATGCACATCTTCCAAGACATCTGGCCACCGGGGAAGAGTAGGCCAACATACCGTCCAGTGGGGCACTCAACAGATGAGATCTCTCTCGAGGTCCCACGTGCAGAGGCCTTTCCGTCAGCAGTGGCGCGAGCAAGAAATTGCAGGGCTGCACCTTCAACGCTTACACTACTAAGTTGGGACTTCCTGGTTCGTGAAGTTTCTTTATGGCGTGGGGATGCAGCTCGCACCAAGTCAGCGTCGTTTTGCACGTTCAGGTTTTGAACTTGGGAAGTGTCCTATTTTTCCTCCAATTAATTTGAAAAATGTTATCGCCATTATGTGCAGCTAAAGGGATATCCGCCCCCGGGTTATTTTTCGGGCACGCGTGTGCTCTGGAGATCAAAAACATACTTCTGTGCAAACTCAGCCGAGCGTGCCTCTTTGTTTATCCGTTCGCCGCCCACACCAGGAAAGTTCGGCACGGGGATCCAGGCCTACTTCTCCTTTCTGAGGTTCCTCGTCGTGCTCAACGCCGTCATCTTCCTTCTCATGCTCTGCTTCGTCACGGTGCCAGCGATCGTAGGGCAGCATGTCGCCCACCCCTCCTCCTCCTCGGCCACCACCGCCCTGGCCTCCACCAACGACACATCGGACATGAACAGAAGCTCAAACAGTAACGCGAACGTCTCTGCAGAAGCACAGCGGATGATCAATCCCGGTAAGCGCTGTCGGCGGCGTGAAATAATATAAAAATAAAATGTATACCAAAATAAATATATATTTCCCCCCATCATGGTTTTCCTGATTGTGCCATCGGCGCGGCGTCATGACACGCGCAGTCTATTCGGAAAGCCACGCAGAGGACTGGAATCCTTCGTGCTCGAGAACGGCATGCAGAAGTAGATATCACAGAGCTGCCTCTGAGATCCCTTCAAGCAAATCAGTAGAGGGTAGCACTTTCCCATCTGCTTTGCTATAATTGGAGCCATGTTTGTCACATAAGAGTCGGACCAAATATCCAAATTCAGCGTCGAGCCAATGTTAAAATGATGGTTTAATCACATCCGTCTGCTTGAATTTGAACCCAGCATCTCAATGGTGCCAGCTCAAAGCTCTAACCTCTGCGCCTCCCGTATATGTCATCACCATCGTAATATTGCTCTTGGATATATTCAACAATGTTTGTCATTCCTCTAATCATTTTTTTTTAAAGAATACTAGAAAGCAAAGAAAATCCTCGTTCCAAAATACAAGTTTGTTTTGTCAGAGGTCGTGACCTGACCTGGAGAGTGGAAAAATACGAAAAATCCCGCAAAGGAGATTTATTGCTGCGGTAAAATTTGCGTATTTATTTTACAAATAATGTAATTCTGTCATGCAAGGACACTTATCATGCATGATCGAATTATATTATCTCTAAAATAAATACACGGCTGTTGATTTTACCACAGAATCTTGTAATTGTCATGCAACGACCCACACGTGTTTTAAAAGAGGTCTGTGCTGTCACTCTCCTTTTATCTAAACAAACAAACAAACAGACGTGCCTGTGTGGACATTTGTCTTAATTTGTTTACCTATAAACTGTGGACCTCTCCGGTCAAAGAGCCATCCACTTGTAAGCAATCGCTCAGCTGTGGATCCACCTTGAGCCACAGCTCCATCGGAACCACTCGGTTAACATGCCAACGTTGGGGCAACGTTGGCAGGGAGCTGTTTGGCACGCGACATCAACAACACTGCGATACAATTCAAACAGATTCAAACGGACTCTGCCGCTCCATCCAACTCACGGCCCATATCTGGCTCGCATCACAGCTTCATCTGTGCGGCTTTAAAGAGCTGCAAAAAATAAATAACCGCAGCTGTCTTTTCGGTATGGTAAATTCATTATGTGGTGATGCTGCTGTTGGCAGTGGTGCACAACTAGCAATAAAAACACACCTGATATTCCCAGGCAGTGGCCATTTCAAGTACTAACCGTGCTGAAACCTGCATAGCGTCTGAGGTCTGATGGAGAAAATAAAACTCAACACGTCCGTCAATACCACTGTGTGGCCTTAAGGTTATACAGTATATATAATACAGTGAGGGAAAAAAGTATTTGATCCCCTGCTGATTTTGTACGTTTGCCCACTGACAAATAAATGATCAGTCTATAATTTTAATGGTAGGTTTATTTGAACAGCGAGAGACAGAATAACAACACAAAAATCCGGAAAAACGCATGTCAATAATGTTATAAATTGATTTGAATTTTAATGAGGGAAATAATTATTTGACCCCTCTGCAAAACATGACTTAGTACTTGGTGGCAAAACCCTTGTTGGCAATCACAGAGGTCAGACGTTTCCTGTAGTTGGCCACCAGGTTTGCACACATCTCAGGAGGGATTTTGTCCCACTCCTCTTTGCAGATCTCCAATTCATTAAGGTTTCGCGGCTGACGTTTGAAAACTCGAACCTTCAGCTCTCTCCACAGATTTTCTATGGGATTAAGGTCTGGAGACTGGCTAGGCCACTCCAGGACCTTAATGTGCTTCTTCTTGAGCCACTCCTTTGTTGCCTTGGAATACCCATCAACGACCCATTTTCAATGCCCTGGCTGAGGGAAGGAGGTTCTCACCCAAGATTTGACAGTACATGGCCCCGTCCATCGTCCCTTTGATGCGGTGAAGTGTTCCTGTCCCCTTAGCAGAAAAACACCCCCAAAGCATAATGTTTTCACCTCCATGTTTGACGGTGGGGATGGTGTTCTTGGGGTCATAGGCAGCATTCCTCCTCCAAACACGGCGAGTTGAGCTCCATTTTGGTCTCATCTGACCACGCAACACTTTCACCCAGTTGTCCTCTGAATCATTAAGATGTTCATTGTATGTGCTTTCTTGAGCAGGGGGACCTTGCAGGCGCTGCAGGATTTCAGTCCTTCACGGCGTAGTGTGTTACCAATTGTTTTCTTGGTGACTATGGTCCCAGCTGCCTTGAGATAATTGACAAGATCCTCCCGTGTAGTTCTGGGCTGATTCCTCACCGTTCTCATGATCATTGCAACTCCACGAGGTGAGATCTTGCATGGAGCCCCAGGCCGAGGGAGATTGACAGTTCGTTTGTGTTTATTCCATTTGCGAATAATTGCACCAAATGTTGTCACCTCACCAAGCTGCTTGGCAATGGTCTTGTAGCCCATTCCAGCCTTGTGTAGGTCTACAATCTTGTCCCTGACATCCTTGGGGAGCTCTTTGGTGTTGGCCATGGTGGAGAGTTTGGAATCTGATTGATTGATTGCTTCTGTGGACAGGTGTCTTTTATACAGGTAACAAGCTGAGATTAGGAGCACTCCTTTTAAGAGTGTGCTCCTAATCTCAGCTCTTTACCTGTATAAAAGACACCTGGGAGCCAGAAATCTTTCTGATTGAGAGGGGGGGTCAAATACTTTTTTCCCTCATTAAAATGCAAATCAATTTATAACATTTTTGACATGCGTTTTTCTGGATTTTTGTTGTTATCCTGTCTCTCACTGTTCAAATAACCCTACCATTAAAATTATAGAGTGATCATTTCTTTGTCAGTGGGCAAACGTACAAAATCAGCAGGTGATCAAATACATTTTTTTCCCTCACTGTAGGTAATATTTTGGCAATTGACATTTTTCTTCACAGTGCATGTGAAGTAACGGGTCATTGTTTTTCAGAAGTGGCATTGTGTCTTCGATGGACTGGTCACAAAGAATGTTGGCCCCAGCTCCATGTTGGCACGAGAAGTCCACAGAAAAGAATGGGAGCCTATGTTTGAGAAGCAGCCAAACGTTCATGGCATTCCCGCAACTGTGCGCATATTACATTTGTGTCTCGCCAGTGTGATGCAAACAATTACGGATCAAAACAAGAACACTCGTTGTTGCTGTTGACGTGTCGCGCGTATTTGAAATGTGAGATTTTGAGAGAGTGGTCGTAATCGAGCAATGCCTTTTGTTGCAGAGGTTCAAAGCACGAGATGTGTGAGACTATGAACAAAAAGGGAATGTCTCAGTAAATACCCCAGCGCACATGTTCCTTCAGGCTGCTTATTCGAAATGAAGGCGGTTGCACAGTTTTGCGAATCACATGGACAGGAATTTGTTTGGTGGCTCCCGCGAGGAGTTGAATTTTCTATTCTTTTGTTATTAAAGATGTCTTGCGCATTGCTCCGCGTGTTAATTTAAAAAATTTTGTTTCATATTTTTATCTCTGAACTTTCCAGTTTGTGCACAATATGACCCGACAAACAGCGGGCTGGTGCACTACTACCATCGCATCCTGGACCTGCTCTCTGGCACAGTATGTGACTGCTGCACGCGTGCGTGTATGCGCGCGCATTTGTTAGGGCGTCTAGATTGAAAACTTATTTCTTTAGAAATGCTTTTTGTGTTTAGTTTATTGTTCTTCCCCTGCACCTCCGATTAGCACGGTTGGCTACGTATGGTGCAAAAGACGTTCTACATTTGTACATACGTTGCACTACGAATCCGGTCATCCGAGTTAGATATCTGCTCGCAGCTAACACCAGTGACAATTATCTGAACCAGTTCTAGGCCTCCCCTAGGTCGACTCAGCCTCAAATGAGTTTTTGGTACAGTGTGTAAGTATCGCCACTTGGTAGGCAAAAGTGGTTGGGCGTGGTGCTGGCCACCCACCCCCTTGCGTACCGCGCCTGGATTTATAGGTTCTATGGGGAATTTTTGTCTTTTTGAATTTTAGGTTGGTGCAATGGGGAAAGGTGGCACAGTGATTAACGTACTGCACTGTCCTTCCACCGCACCTCCGATTAGCACGGTTGGCTACGTATGGTGCAAAAGAAGTTCTGCATTCGTACATACTTTGCACTATGAATCCGGCGACCCGAGTTCGATTCCCGCTCACGACCAACATCGATGGCGAATATTTGAATCGACCTCGATGCCTCCCCTAGGACGACTCAGCCTAAAAATGACTACCTGTTGCTGCTGTGTAAACATTAGCGCTGGGGAGACAAAGGCGGCAGAGCGTGTTGCTGGCCTACACTGCCTCGTTGTGCATTTTGCCGGTGCTGCAAAGTTTCCTCAGTAGGTGGCAGCGGTTGTTGCTGCCTAGCGTGATCCCAGTTTGAGAGAACACTGGAGGACTCATGCAGAAGGGGTGGGGGGGGGGGGGAGAACATACCAACTTGACACAGGAAGGTGCACCCGGCTCGGGAGAATCGGACCCAGGGGCCCGACGCTCTTGGGGCACGAAGCGTCACCAGGGCGGGGGTCTCTCTCGTTCGCTCGGCAGGGATTCCTGGAGCCCACCAGCCTTTTCTACGGGTTCTACGGCACGGGCTCGTACGACCTGCCAGCGGACGTGCGCTACAACCTCCCGCTCGCCTACCTGCTCACGACGCTCGCCTACCTCGTGCTCAGCCTCGTGTGGATCGTCAAGAGGTGGGCAGACGCCTAAGTAGCGGAAACAAGACACGAGGTCCCCAAGTAGAGCCTTGAACAGACTTCTGCTGGGGCTAATGCTGTTCGCGAGCGCCTACAGAGATCACCCCGGATAGCTTTTAATGGACTGTTTGGAGCAAGTGCTGTTAGCGACCACCTATTAAGGCCAGCGTGGCACATTAGGGAGTGGGTGGCCAGCACCACGTCTGGCTGCCTTTGTCTCTCCAATGCTGATGTTTTTATTGTACCAGATACTCATTTAAGGCTGAGTTGATCTAGGTGAGGCCCAGGGCCATATCAGGTAATTGTCACTGGTGTTGGCTGCGAGTGGGAATCGATCTTCTGGGTCTCATGAACTTAATATCCTTATTTATATGTGCAGACAAGGGCAGAGTTCTGCTTGTATTTGACTCATAATTCTCCACAACAACGCATAATGGGTTTGCATAGTAAACTGATGATGATGAATTCATTTTTTTGCCATTTGGTGACGATTGTTGACAATGATAGTTGACGATGATTTCATAAACAGATAGTGGTGATTTAATGAACAACAAGTGATGATGATCGATGATGATCTACTCAACAAACAATGAAGACCTAGTGAACCAAATTATTACGTGAGATGATGATGCAGTAAAGAGACGATAAAATGTACAATTGGTGGTTGATCACGTTGGATCGAGTAAACTAGCAACGAAGAAATAAAATAACTACACCGATGCGTCTTTAAGTGGAAAGACTTCCGAATTCGGAAGACGTACTGAGGCTCCCACAAAGCCGTGCGGCGGTGGGAGGGGGCGTGTGCGGCACCAGTCTGGCGCCGCTAGGGCAGAGCGACGGCGGCAGTGCCGCTACGGTTCTCCGCGGCGTGAGTAACGGCGTCTTTAAAAAACATCGGCGCTGCCGCTGCCGCTGCTGCTGCACTCCTCTCTCAATAAAATGAACGCCGAACCGGCCTGTGTGTTCTGAAGTTCGGTGGTAAACGGGACAGCCCACACCACACCCTGCGATGGTGAGGCTTGTTACCTAGCGAACAGTTGATGATGATGATGGTGACGACGACGACGACGATCAGGCAAACAACTCAGATCGAGTAAACGGACAATGGCGGCGTAGCAGACAACACCGGTGGTGGCGACTTTTGACGATGATTGTCGATGCCGATGGTGTTGAGGTCGGCCGAGGGCTTCAAGCACAGCCTGGTGCAGACGGAGGAGCGCTTCTGCAACTACTGCAACAAGGTGTTTAGCGGCTGGGACTTCTGCATCAGCGACCCTGACGCCGCCGCCCTCAAGCAGAGCAGCATCAGCTTCGAGCTGCAGGTGAGACGCGTCTCCCCCCCCCAGTAAACGTGGAACGGTGCGCCAACAACGGTTTCCAACGTTGTTGGCCCAACATTGCGTGATCACCGTGGGGGTGGGGGTTGTCAGCAGGGCTTGGCCCTAGCCTCGCGGCTTGCCTGCCTCGTTCCGCACACACGAGTGTTGCGAATGGTGACCCGGTCCGCGGTACAAACGATGGTCAATATCACGGTCAACTTCTACTGAATCCAGATTTTTTTTTCTGCTGGCTCACATCTCATCGCGTGTTTCGGCAGCGGGGATTTGATCGTGGCCGACGGTGACGGCGGCGACGACGTTGACGGATTTGACGACGCTCCTCCGTTTGCCAGGCCGACCTGGAGGAGGAGAAGATCCGGAGCAACATCCGCGGGCGCAGCGCGATGGAGCGGCTGCGCATCTACTCGCTGCGCGTGCTGCTCAACGTGGTTGTTCTCGGCCTACTGGCAGCTTCCTTCTACAGCATCTACGTGGCCACCATCGACTCGCAGGCGCTGCTCATGCAGCATGTACGTGCGCCACCGGCACTGCTGGGGCTAGCAGCACCAGGCTGTGCACATAAGACAAAGATCCTCCCTCCCCCTCCCCCCATAGCCTAAAACAGGGGCGGGCAACCTGCGGCACCGAACCCGCATGCATTGCCAAAAACAACAACAACAAAAAACCCCTCCTAATTATTTTCGATTAGCGGTAAACGTTTAGAGGCCCAACGATGATTTGTAATGTGGCAGTACAAATCGGTGTGCATGTGCTGCTCTTAAAATAGGGGATTGCAAAGAATATGGTTTGACGTTACTCATTCGGGACCGTCTTCTATTCACATGCATTGCGGCTCTCAAAATATTTATTTGTGTTGGTTGCTGGACCCCTGGCCTACACAGACTCTTGGGGCAAGTGCTTTTAGCGAGCACCTTCGAAGGCTGGGTCAGCACACAAGGGGGTGGGTGGCCAGCACCACGCCTAATGGTAATATTTGCACATCGCACCAGGTACTCTTTTGAGGCCGAGTCGACCTAGGCGAGGCCCAAGACCGTTTCAGATAATCGTCACTGATGTTGACCGTTAGCGGCAATCGAACCCGGGTCGCTAGGTTCATAGCGCAGCGCGCTAACCGCGACACTCCGTGCACACCCCCCCCCACCCCCCTCGTGTCGTTCACGGGGTCATGCAGGCGGCATCAGAGCAGAAGAGCCGGTTCATCGTGAGCCTCGTCGTCGAGTACCTGCCATCGATCGTCATCACGGCCGCCAACTTCCTCATGCCCGTGCTCTTTGAGGTCATCATCACGTTCGAGGACTACACGCCCGACTTCGAGATCAAGCTCCTGCTCATCCGGTCCGCACCACGATGTAGATTGTTGAGCGTGCATGTGCGCGCATGTGTGTGTGTCACGATAGGCCTCTGGAGGAGGCCTCGTAAAAGACAACAACGGAGGGCAGAGGAGCGACGCTCACAACAATGAGCGTAGCGTTGGCACAGTCGGGAACACAGTTGGTGCATCTGTCAGTCATCTTAGTCAACCCTTGGCGCCAAGGTCTGCTCTATGACCTTCCAGCGAGCCTTCCATACTTCACGTGGACTTAAAGTGCACCTAGCATGGCACAAGCACCGTGGTGACGTCACCACCACTTAGTGGTTAAAGGCAGTTGTTGTGTATGTGTATGGGGAGTGGTAGTTATAGCGTTTAGTGCGATCCGCTATGAACCAGGCCGCCCGGGTTCGATTCCCGCTCATGGCCAACACCAGTGACAATTATCTGAATCGGCGTCCCCCTTGGTCTCCAGGACGGTGTTCCTGAAACTCGCCAGTATCGCGGTGCTGCTCGTCTCCCTGTGGATCCAGATCGTGCGCTGCGACGGAGTCGTGTGTGAGCCGTGCGGATACAACCACAAGACATACCCCGTGCGTGTGCACACACATACCCACGCACGCACGTACACATACGCGTGTAAACACACGTGTACGCAACGCGCGCACACGTGTGCATGCAAAGCATATCCCGTATGTGTGTGTGCGTGCGTGCAAACGCGCGAGCACACACACGCACGCATATACACGCGCACGCACACGCATCAACACAAAATATAAACCGTCCATATGCGCACACGGCCATGCAGGATGCACAGACACAAAGACAAAAGATCCTGTAACAGACTGTAGGAGCAAGTGCTGTTAGCGACCACCTATTAAGGCCAGCGTGGCACATTAGGGAGTGGGTGGCCAGCACCACGTCTGGCTGCCTTTGTCTCTCCAATGCTGATATTTTTATTATACCAGATACTCATTTAAGGCTGAGTTGATCTCGGTGAGGCCCAGGACCGGTTCAGATATCGGCATAAACACGCACATAGGAACACCCACATGCGCACAAAGACAGACACCCGCACGCACACATATATGTACACGTGCATACACACATGCATGTACACACAGTGACATACGTCACAATCACATACGCACGCCATCCGCACCAAGTGCAAAAGCACCACACCATTGTGTGTTAAACGCACCACAGCACACCACCATGTGTAAACACCCCACACCGCCACAAGCACGTGTAAACACCCTCCACACCACAACGCGAGTCTTACTAAGCTAAATGGGTGCTCACGAGATCACTTGCCAACAGTCTGTTTGAAGGATCTTTCTGTCTTTTTGTCTGTGTGCGTGCGCCGCAGTGTTGGGAGAACCGCGTGGGCCAGGAGATGTATAAGCTCACCATCTTCGACTTCATCATCTTTGTGGCCATGGTCCTGTTCATTGAGTTCCCACGCAAGTGAGTTCCGTCCATGATCACGCACGGATCTGCCTCTGAAGCACCCATTTTGTTTGTGAAGAAAACTAAAATAAGCAACAAATAAACACAGTTTTTGCATCAGACTTAGAGGCGCGGAAATGCACAGCCAAAGTGGGAACGCAGCCAGAACCGGCGCCAAAAAATTCCCGAGCTCTGTGATCCTATAGTCATTTGGGCAGCGGTGTTTCCACTGGTTACTCCATTGAGCCGTTGGCGCCTCTGCCCACCGCCGATAGCCAGCACTGCCCGGCTTGTGTTTGTTGATGTTGTTGCTGTGGTCATTACAGGATCATCGTGACCTACTGCCCGTTCAAGATCGTCCAGCTGCTGGGCACGCAGGAGTTCTCCATCCCGCAGAACGTGCTCTCCATCGTCTACTCGCAGACCATTTGCTGGATCGGCGCCTTCTTCTCCCCGCTCATCCCCCTCATCGCCATGATCAAGTACATCATCTTCTTCTACCTGAAAAAGGTCGGTTCATGAGGCGGTGCTATGTGTGGCTCGGCGGGGGTCAGGGGGGGGTTGGCTGGTGGTGGGGGGAGTGGCAGGGGTAGGGGGGGTGACCAGGGAAGGGTCTTGATTCCAGGCAACGTTGATTAAGTCAGAGTCGCCGAGTTAAAGATGTCTCCCTGGATCCGCCACTGAGTCTGGTCGATGACAGCCGGTGGAGTGAGTTCAAGTCGAGTGTGAGTGTGGATTTTGCAGGGTCTCTCTCTCTTAGTCTGGTTGCCTAAGCACTCAAACGTTTGGTCGCTCTGAGTTGTGAAACGTTGCTGTGAGACGTGTGCCCAATCCCCCCCCACCCACCAATATCTAAAATAAATAAATAAAAAGTGACTTGGACACAAATGATAGCCCAACGAAGTGGCTCATCATGTGCAAATTTATAGCAGGCAAATACCCTAAACACATGTTTCTAAAGGTGGAGGGAAAAACCGAAAGACCCAGAGATGAATCCACATGACCACAGGGAGAACACGCAAACTCCAAATATATATAGGCGTTAGGGTCGGGATCAAACCCACAACCTCATGTGTACCAGGCGAGGTAGTTAACATCACGCCACCATTAATCAGTGAACTCGGTAATCTTATATATGTAATATATGGCCAATTTGCCCTGTTTGATCTTCCTTGGTGCGCTGCATTCTCTGGTAATGTGGCTAGACCGACCCGATTTGCGCTGGTGTCGTCTCGTCGCGGTCACAGAAGTCGTAGGTGTCGACACGCTCGGTGGTTTGCGTTCGCTCCTCGTCGTTATCACCGTCTCAAACAGTCGCGGAGTCAACGAACGTCTTTGTCTCTATTTTGTCCACTGGTAACAATGATGCCGTGTGTTCATGTGTCTGTGTGCGTGTCCATGTTTCTGTGTGTTCGTGTCTCCACGTTGCCCTGTCTTCACGTGTCTGAGTCTCTGTGTGTCCATGTGTCCATGTCTCCATGTGTCCATTTTTGCACGTCTCCACGTGCCGTGTCTCTCGTGTGTCTGTGTCTGCGTGTGCAGCTGAGTCTCTTTGAGAACTACCTCCCCTCTGTGCGCCCGTTCCGCGCCTCCAGCTCCAACTTCTTCTTCCTGCTCGTGCTGCTCTTGGGCCTGGTGCTGGCGGCAGTGCCCGTCGGCTACAGCGTCGCCAGGTGACCATCATCATCCAGGGACGACCACCACCACCACCACTAAACTTTGTGTCCGGGGGGGTGGGGGAAAGGGTCTATTAAAGGGATGGGGGAAGTGGCTGTCGTATTCGTTTTAGGGAACGGCTGTTATGTCGATCCACTGCTGGATGGGGGCCTCCACACCAACGGCATAGCATGGTTAGCGTGGGCCCTGGTGCAAGGGATTAAATGGGGGGGCTCCACTCTTCGTGTCCTAGTGCATGGGCCCATTCGGCCTGTGGCTACCGGTTCAGTTGATTATCTCGCACACTCGATAGTTACACAGAGGATCTTTGTGTGCGTGTGTAAGTGTGCGGTGGGGAGCGGTAGTGTAGTGGTTTGCATGCTGCGCTACGAACCCGGAAACCCGAGTTCGATTCCCACTCACGGCGAACACGAGTGACGGTTATCTGCATTGGTCCTTGGCTTCGCCTAGGTCGACTCCGCCTCAAATTAGTTCCTGGGATGCGGTGTGTGAACATCGTCACTGGGGAAATAAGACTGCCGAGTGTGGTTCCAGCCACCTTGTGGTGGTGTGCTCGCTAACAGCACTTGCCCCTACAGTCTGTTAAGGCTATACTGGGGATCTTTGTCTTGTATATATGTCTGTTAAAGGATAAACATAAGACCTTTGTGTGTGTGTGTGTTTGAGGGTGCTTGTCTTTGATAAAAAACTACACAGGGGGTCTTTGTGCATGTGTACACATGTGCGTGTATCCGTTAAAGCTATTCAAGGAATATCTTGTCTCTGTGTACGTGTGTGCGCACGTGTGCGCATACGTGTTTGTGCGCGTGTGTGTGCGTGAGCAGCATGGCCCCGTCGCAGTCGTGCGGGCCGTTCCGTGGGGCGACACGCGTCTGGGACGTGGTGCCCGCGTCCGTGCGGTCGTTGCCACCCGCGGCGCAGAAGCTGCTCAACGTGCTCAGCTCGGAGGCGTTCGCCGTGCCCCTCTTCATCCTCATCTGGTGAGGCCATCCCCCTTCACCCCTCCCTCCCGCCCCCGCTCCCAAGCGATTCCTCCTGATACTTAGATCCCTCCTACACCGGCTCCAAATCCCATCCCGGATCGATTTGGAGTTCGCAATCACCGTGTTCCTCACTGCGCTACGAACCCGGCGACTCAAGTCTGATTCCTGCTGACAGCCAACACCAGTGACAAATACCTGAACCTGTCCTTGGCCTCCCCAAGTTCCACTCAGCCTTAAATGAGTACCCGGTGAAGCATGTAAACATCAACACTTGGAGAGACTATGGTGACCGGTTGGGCTTGGCGCCGGCCACACCACCCACCTCGTGCTCCATGCCAGCCTTTAATGGGTTCTCGTGAACAGCACTTGCCCCAGCAGGGTGTGTAGGCTGCACGGGAGGATCTTTGTGTGTATGTACACGCAAGCATGCGGGTCAATGTGTGTGTGTGTGTGCGCGTGCTCGTCCGTGACGCATGCAGCCTTGTGTTGTTCTACCTCATTGCGCTGGCGGGCGCGCACAAGCGAGTGATCCACCAGCTGAGGGAACAGCTGGCCATGGTGAGTGACGGTCGCCCGTGTGCAGCTTTCACCCACCTCCCGCTGTCAGTGTTAACGAGGGCATCATTGCTTTGTGTCATAAAGGTAAAGGCGCAGTCCCTGCATTTTCTTGCTCTCGCCGCTGCTGGCGGAACGGCCCCCTCCAGTGGATTTCTGGGCTACTCTTCCATTCCTGACCAGACCTTGGCCGGCGGCAACAGTTGCCCAAGCTCTGCTGCCCTCTGTGTATTAAGGTGGTGTTATCCTGCAACTTATGAGTGTTTACAAGTGGGAGGAAGCAGGAGCACCACGGGGAAAACCCACGGACGTATGTCCCAGTCAACCACAGACGTATGTCCCAGTCAACCACGGACGTATGTCCCAGTCGACCACGGACGTATGTCCCAGTCAACCACGGACGTATGTCCCAGTCGACCACGGACGTATGTCCCAGTCGACCACGGACGTATGTCCCAGTCGACCACGGACGTATGTCCCAGTCGACCACGGACGTATGTCCCAGTCGACCACGGACGTATGTCCCAGTCGACCACGGACGTATGTCCCAGTCGACCACGGACGTATGTCCCAGTCGATCACGGACGTATGTCCCAGTCGACCACGGACGTATGTCCCAGTCGACCACGGACGTATGTCCCAGTCGACCACGGACGTATGTCCCAGTCGACCACGGACGTATGTCCCAGTCGACCACGGACGGACGTATGTCCCAGTCGACCACGGACGTATGTCCCAGTCGACCACGGACGTATGTCCCAGTCGACCACGGACGTATGTCCCAGTCGACCACGGACGTATGTCCCAGTCGACCACGGACGGACGTATGTCCCAGTCGACCACGGACGTATGTCCCAGTCGACCACGGACGTATGTCCCAGTCGACCACGGACGTATGTCCCAGTCGACCACGGACGTATGTCCCAGTCGACCACGGACGTATGTCCCAGGCAACCACGGGTCTGGCCCAGGGGTCGGCAACCAAAATAACAAGAAGAGCCATTTTTTTCCGAATTCGGTCAGAAATGCAATATTTCAAGAGCCGCAGTGCATGTGACTACGAGACGGTCCTTCATACGTAACGTCACGGAGCAGTTCTTGAAGAACCGCGTGTGGCCCTGGACCCGCATGTTGCCCGACCCCTGGTCTATCCCATACGGGCGGATCAGGTGGAGTTTACACGTAGGCTTTTGCGACCAATATCATCTATAATACAGGTTTTTTTATGGGTTAGATCACGTAAATATAAAAATCTGGCTATTGCCTGATGAAGATAGTTGTAATTACTGGCTAAACGTCATACTCAGATTGTAAATGTTGTGGCTTTGCTCTCCAACACACCGGTGTGCTGTACTAGTAACGAATTGGCATGTTCTATTTACGTGACAAACCTTACTAACTGGCTGTGTCGGGTGGTAGCTGGTTTAACGACACTTTTATATATTTTCGCGATCTAACCCAAAAAAAAACCTGTATTATGGAACAGGTGGAGTTGACATTTTTGCTCTACTGCCTTCTCCTGGCCTAGCGAGGGTGTGGCACCTACTCGACTCCCACGAGGAAGGCAGTTTCGCAACATTTGTGCGGTGATCCACCAATCCTCGCTGCTGCCGCCAGGGCGTGGTATTGCAGGCAACCACGTGCAGCAGAATAGCCACCACCGCCCAGCTAATTCCCTCACACTACCACGTGGTGGCGCTTTGGAGGCACGGAATGACGGATCGGGTAGATTTGTGAACGCTGTCATCCCCTCCTCCCTGGGCCACAGCAGTAGCCATGAGATGGCCGTGCAGCCAGTATAAATTAATATTCTGATTCTGATTCTCAAGGTTTTTGAGCCCACCTCAAGGGAAGTGATTGGCAATCCCGCGAACGGCCACCCACGTAACCACCCTCCCCCTTTGCACCGCCTTTCCCGCACGTGCGCGTGATTTACGAAAATTGCAGGAGGCCAAGGACAAGCAGTTCCTGATAACGAAGCTGATGGAGATGCAGTCGAGTGGCCCCTCGGAGTCGGAGAAAAGGCGCGCCTCCGTGAGGGAGAGGGCCAGCCGAGCGGCACGCGGCGGCGGCGGCGGCCGGCCGGACGACCCGGCACGGCCGCCGCTTCCCGGCGCCGTCTGCTGAGACCGGCGTCGCATCGGGGCTGCGAGATCGTCTGTCGCGACGGCGAGTCGCGGCGTACGAGGAGTACGACGATGACGACAGCGGCGGCTGAGCCACGGGGAGGGCGATGACACGGCCGAGCGGCAGCCGCTTGTCGCAGATGTTCGCGGTTCGAGCCCGGCAGCCGCAACCCCCCCCTCCCCCCCCACCGGTCAATTCTGGGGGTGTCCAATCGAGCGTAAATGCCCCACGTGCCGGCAGCTTCACTTCGGACGTTTAAAGATCCCGTGACGTTATTTGACAAGAGGGTACGCCGCGGTGTACCGGCGTCACGGGCCACGTTTGCAATTTTTTTAAGGTGACTCTCGCAACCCACCTGGCACACCAGTTGTCACGAGACCGCTGCTGCATTCGCAGTGTGCTGCACACAGGGTCAGCTGTCACTAGGGGTCCCCTTTGGCAGGGCACCCCGAGATGTGTACCCCATGGGAGGCGTAGTATGAATATTATGTGATGATGATGAGGGAGGAGAGACTCCCCCGTGGGTTGTGGTAGAGAGAGCGTGGCGTGGAGTGGTTCACAAAGCTTGGAGACTAATCGAGGTATGTCCGGGAACAATGTGATACCCCACGTTATCGAATTCATTCGGCAGCCTTCTGCGAGGGGAGATGATACAATAGGGGGTGGACTGGGTGAGTCTTCCAGCGAAACTACCATGGGGTACCGTAAGTCAAAAGAAGTCGGTGACTTTCTGCCAAAATGAGCACTGAAGTGGTGCTCGCCTTCTTGTTTACATCCCCGAGCCAGCAGTGGATATTCCACATTCCTATGGCGGAGTTTCGGTGTGTCTATATAATGACCATTGTTGACTTGATGTGCCCGAGTCAACACCCAAGCAGGATTTAAACTGGGAACCTTCCAATCGTGAGCCCCTTGCTCAGCCGCTGAGCCAACCAGCCTGGTTATCTTAAATAAATATGAATACATATCCACGTGGGTTATCAAGCTTTTTTCCAGGGCACCCCCTTAATTCATGACTGGAGCTGGGTTAGGGCACAGTTTTGCATGAACTGCAAGTTATATTTATTTATCTGTGCCTGCCTATCTGACTTGTTATTTTTATTCTTCAGTCGAAATCTATTGTTGTCGCTGGTTTTTATCACAGTGTTCTATACACATAAATATATATATACCGTGAACTGTAACCGGTGAGAATGTGGACTTATTGTAATGTGCAGTGATACCAGCCAGGAACCTGGCTGATCGCGAGTTCGTTAGGAGCAGCAATCTCCATCACTGTAGATAGTCGGGTACAAACATTTTTGTCAAAATGGTATTTAAGTCTGCATTTCTAAAGGTTTGTACTGTGTTAGTATCTGTATTCTTATTACTACTACTACGTTAGTTCACCCAGGAAAGCCTCGCTGAGTCTTGAGACTCTTTTTCAGGAGGGTCCTGCCAAGTCTCCGCGCATTAAGGGGCGACGTTCGCTGCTGCCGTTTGTAGTCCGATGCTGACCCTGCCGGCGACGGGGATATTTCGATGTGGAGCGGCGCCACAACGTCACGCCCGCTACCGAGCTAGTAGCAGCCAGTAGTTGTCACTACAGCTGCAACAGTTGAGCTTGAAAGTGGGGGGTTGGGGGGCCGATCTGTGCAGTACCTTCTCTGTAGTGTAAGCGATGACCACCAGGTACCGGGACCGTTGGTCGTTGGTGAGTTAATGGCACATTTATCTTTATGCAGTCTAACCCAAAAAATAAAACTTTCTTACGAATTAATATTGGTCGCGAAAGCCTTCGCGTTAAACTCGGCGGGTACCATTCGCAAGTAGCCCTGCACCCTCCCCCTTCCCCCCGGCAACCTGGCCCCCTGCTACCGAGAAACGGGGAACCGGGCTTCGCTTTCCGCGTGTAATTTCCTCCGGTCACACGGGAACGGTTTCGGCGATGATCTCGCGAAGCCGTGGGCCCGTGGGATCGGATCGCTGGATTCTGAGCCGAGTTTGGTGGCTTGCAGCAGCGAGCAAACCTCTTCGGTGGCCAACTTGAGGCAGGCTGAAGCTGCTACAGCGGTGTTAACGGGCAGCAGCGCGCCGGACTTGCAATCCAGAGGTTGGATTTCATCTCCCGGCTCGGCAGTTGAGACAACGGTGCGAAATTCTGAAATCCACCACCCCATTCCACCTCTGTCCACCCAGCGGTAGAAATGGCTACACTGTATTTAGTTAATTCGTAGGGGTGCGTGTGGTGGGGTAAACTGTGGTACTTCTACAACTTCCAAGACTTCTTGCCAATGCGCGTGAATAGTCCAAGAGACCTCGCTCCCAGTGGAGGCTCTGGCTCCGAGCAGTAGTGTGAGCAAGGAGTTGAGGGGGTGCACCTCTGGCCTGCTGTCTTACGAGGGTGGCCTGGGTATCAGCAGTGTCTACGTGGAAACTCGGGCCTAAGGTGCGAGGAAGGAAAACCAAAAAATAGTATTTCGTGTGTAAGCAAGCTTAGGTGAATATTGTGAACTTTTTAGTATTTTACATGGACCGTAAACATGCATGACACGCGCGCGTAGTGCGTGGTGAGATTTTTTTTTTAAACGCCGCTCGCTTTGCTCACTACTTTGGGGATTAGCGTGGTTTTGTGGTTTTTATTCTTGTGAAGCAGGCGACAGAAAGCATCTCGCTTTTACAGTAAAAGCTAATTTTGTTAAATGTTGATAGCAGTTTTACATGAAATAGTTTTATAAGAATAGCATGTTGAATAAAAGGTCATTGTTTTTTTTAAATGTAGTCGTGACAATAATTTTGCGAGATTTGTTTTGTTTAATTATTTGTTTTAAACATGAACGTATTCCTGCAATAAATACCGGACTGTTTACAACTCTTTGCTGCAGTGTAATACGTGCATCATTATTATTTGATAAATATCCGAGAACGTTGAGTGGGGCGCAGCAGCAACGTGGTTGGCGCACTTCGCTGTGAACCTTGGCGACCTGGGTTCGATTCCCAGCTGCGGCTGACATCAGTGGTGAAGTGATATCTGAACCGGTCCTGGGCCTCCCCCCCCTCATACATTGATTCAGCCTTAAATGAGGACACTGTGCTCATGTTTAATACATCAGCACGAGGGATGACAAAGGCGGGCGGCCGGGCATGCTAGTGCCACACTATCCACTTTGATTGCCGTGCCGGCTTTCATACTTGCCAAAAGCACTTGCCCCATAAGGCAGTGTGGGCTACCCAGGGAATCTTTGTCTGTGTGTGGGGGTATGCGTCGCTATGCCCGGCGTGCCAGTCGCGCGTGTTGCGCGTGTGGCAGGCAGCACGCCGGGCGTGCGCGACTGCTGCATCTGTCACGAGCCATGCCATGGCCAACACACGATGCATCTGCCTGGCACGGACACCCGATGCCAGATCCATATCCGCGTCGCAATTCCGCAGGACAATTGCACAGTCGCAGCAGAGTGAATTATGATCGGATGAATGGATGGGTGGATGACTGCACGTATTAATGGAAGTATGACTGAATGGATGCACAGACAAGACAAATAAATTGATGGATGGAGGCCATGAAATGTGTGTTGGCTGTTTGCTCTCTCGATCACTCGCAGGTGAGTCCCTGAAACGCATTGGTGACGGTTTCTCGCGGACGTGGCAAACAAAGGAGTGAGCGTTCCTTTATCTCCGCACTTGCAGACCTTGGGCAAAGGGCCGAGCAAGTAGAATGGCTCCACGTGTTGTTGTTGGTGTTGCTGAGGATGCGAGTGCTGTTGACAAGAACGCATGACCTTTCGCACGCAAAAAAAATCTACGGTCGACCTGTAAAACTCGTGCAGAATGCTGGGGCGGGTGCTGTTCGCGAGCACCCTATTATGAGGCGTGCATGATGCTCAGTGCCGGATTATCCTCGTAGCAAAAGTATCTGCACACGCTACGGGCCCCACACTTTCAAGGGCCCCGCGCTAAATGCTTTAAAGCTATCACTTCAGGTTTAGTGATTCTTTACTTGCTCATTACTATAGTACTATATTGCCTTCAACCTTTTATGAACGACTCGGTGTTTAAGGTTATCGAGTTGTCCTATTATCTGGCTGTATAGCAAATGAAAAAAATCCAATTACTTTACTATGCAAGTAAAAAAAATTATGTTTTAATATTTTAATTGGGCCCCTTTAGAACATATGCTGCAGGCTCCGCACGTAGCTTAATCCGGCACTGTTGATGCTTACACTTCGCGCTCTGCACTCAAGGCTGAGTGCATCTAGGAGGGGCCTATGACCGGTTTCTATATTCATCACTGATGTTAGCCGTTTTGCGGAAATCTAAACCGGGATTTCCAGGTGTCATAGCAGCGCAGTGCGCTAAACAGAACACGCCCTGTCCCTACGACACATGAACAAACACAAAGGCTGAGTCGACCTTGGAGAGGCCCAGGGTCGGTTTAGACAATTGTCACCGTTGTTGGCCGTGCGCGGGAATCGAAGTCGGGTCGCTGGGCTCGTAGCGCTAACCACTGCGCCACCGCTCCCCCCCCCCACCATCCCCTTCCCCAGACACACATTCGGATCATATAAGCATCGTGTTGTTATTATTATTAGAATCTGACACAAGACGATTTGGGTGATTTATGATGAACAGGGCCCGGTGGGGGGGGGGGGGGGGGATGGCGTGCGTGGATGAGTGTTCTATATCGAAGATCATTGGGGCTGGCGAAGGCGTGGTTGGGGTAGGGGGTGAAGTATGACACCAGCACCTGTGCAGGACATAGCCGAGTTGTCGTCGTGTGTCGGGAGGGACACGGGGCCACCGTCAGCTGTCTCCACGCGCAGCGGGACACCACGGCGATTGAAACGGCAGCTCTCCGTACCCAAAGCACTCCGACACAGTCGCCAATAACACCGCGAGGCCTTAAAGTGTACACCGTTGCAATCGAGATGTCCCACCTCAAGGCACTATCCGGATACAGCGTTTTCATATGATTACAATGTTTTATTATGATGATCACATTTCCACGCACAGCATATGGATGACGAATGATCCTGATGTCGACTCCTGCTGATGATCGATAAACCGCAGCTGCTTGCAGTTGCTGCTGCTTTGGGAGCTGCTGATGATGGTGATGTTGACACCCGCACTGCCTTTCCCTATAGGTGGCGCTGCAAGGCAAGGAATCACGCGGGGGAGTTCACTGCGGCCACTTATTCGGCACGACCAGAGGTTTTCACGAGTGCCTCGTTCAAGGGGGTGACGCTGGCCGGTATCGCGGTCGATGGACACGTCGAGATGAACGGGGAAAAAAATCACGGAGAAAAGGCTGCAGTGCGATTGTGGCGATGCAATCCCAAAACGTATGGGTCATGTAGTTGACGCACAGAGGCACATAGAGATTCACAGAGACTCATAGAGATACAAAGAGACGCCTAGAGAACCATAAGCGACTCAGAGGTATACAGTATTAATGACAAGCCGCAGTTGTGCCATTGTGGCCATGAAATTCAAACGATGGACCGTAGACTAACCCGCTGTAGTCTGTGCTCCTCCCACGTAGGAGCAACAGCAAAAACGGGACGAACTCTCCCTGCTGAAGCCCTCTCGTCGTGGCCAGAAAACTTCGAAATTGGCTTTTGGCGCCTGGAAATATTGCTTCCACTCGCACGAATAGAATGAACGGGAGATAGATTTTGTTGAACGTTCGGGGCAATAGACGCTTACTAAAATGTAATTTAAAAAAAAAGCCAATAAGACAGACTCTTAAGAATAGGTAATGCCCTATCTGGCAATACAACATATGTTAAGTTGTTGAAACACCAAATAGATACCTTTTGCACGGTATAAAGTCTGCATTAACCACACGTCCTTGTGGCAAAAGTTATCAACAAACATGCTCTGATAATAAGTCTATATGCATGGGCTTTTAAACTGCCAGAAAGGGCAAATACCTATTCTTAATTTTTATACTAGCAAAAAAAGGTCCCATTAGATAACGCTTTCGTCAATCCACTGCTGGATGAAGGGTCTCACCACGCCGTGCCAGTCGTGGCGAGTTGGCCATACTTCACCACGCTGGTCAATGCGGGTCGGTGAAAAAGGAGCCCTGCAGGAGCTGCTCGGATTGGAGCGGATGCGAATCCGAACCCTTGTGTGTTCGGGCTTAACGCACAGTGTGCTAACCACTGCGCCACCGCTCCGCCTGCGATAATGTATCACGTTTATTGTGGCAGTGGGCTCTGAGTGCTGGCGCAGTAGATAGTCACGAAGTCTGGCGACTTGAGTTCGATTCCTGTGCCGCGGCTGACATCAGCGGTGAATGATCCATATAACTCGTCTATGGCACCTCCCCCCATCCACCAACCCGCACTGACCAGCGTGGTGAAGTATAGTATAATAATCCCAATTACCAGGACTTCATTTCATCAGGAGCGAGCCATCCCACTGATCCTAACCATAAATCATATCCTAAACCCGAACAAATAAGTCCACTAGCCACGAGTACTAGCCCTGCCGCTCGCCCTCTCAAAGTTGGTAGATCTCAGAGTACTCCCTATTCGCTCCGGTGTCCAGGAAGAGGAGGAATCCGCGAAGAGACGGACGTATACACGTATGTATGTTGAACTTCTTTCGCACCGTACGTAGCCAACCGTGATAATTGGAGGTGCGGCGGAAGGACAACACACTAAACACGCAAATCAGTTCTAAGGAAAGTCAATTTTCAATGTGGTTGGTTTTTGAAGCGCGTAGCTCCGGTGGCTTCGGAAGGAAGAGCGTTCTAAGACGGCCGCAGAAGCGCATCAATGGCTAGCAGCCAAAACCTGCTGCGAGGATGACTACCGGAGATGGATGAAATGTGGAGCAGCGGCGTAACGTGGTTGGCGCTGAGCCATGTCCAATTTGACCCCCCCCCCCCGATCCCCCCCCCCTCTTCGTAGCCCGGCACATGCATGGGCCCCATTCGGTTCGCGGGCATGGTGCAGTTGCACGGCCTGCGCACTCGATAGCTATGCCAATGTGTTGGGGGGGGGTGGGGTAGGGCCTTCGCAGTGGTTGCTCTTGAATGTATTTAGGAGCCCGTATCTGCCAGAACTCCTCCACAGTCCACCTGCTGGGGTGGGGGACCCAGCCAAGCCCACTTCGCTCTCCCCTCGGAGGCTCACTCCCCCCCTCCCCCCGTCATGACATCTGCACTCATTTATCAGCTGCGGGCCCCGAGGCTTCTGATGCTAGAACGCGGCTGCCCTGAACAATAGCTCCGTAGCCAATCGGTAGCACTAACCGTATTCCCAAGTACAGTTATGGAGTCACAAGCACGACTCCATCCGTACCCATAGACCTATTCACCGCTCTATCCCTGACCATATTCCTAACCCCCGATATATTCCGAGCCATATACCTCCACCCCTAAGCATAGACCTGATCTTGTCCCGAACTCCATCGCTAGCCATAACCCCAGCCTTATTCCTGACCCAAACACCAGCCCCATGCCAAACCATAACCGAAGCCCTATTCCTTACCCTAAGCTCAGACCCAATCCTATCTCTAATGTAAACCATATGCTCAAACCGTAGTCAGAACCACCTTCACACCACACAGCGAGGTAGCGATTCAGTGTGCAGGCGATGGAACTGCACCAGGACCCACGGGCCAGAGCCGGCCAAAACAAATAGAGACGGGGGGGGGGGGGCATTTAATTAATTACAACAGGGTCCAATGTTACTCCACGGGCCTAACAATAACCCAATCCATAACCACAGACACAATTCGTGGTTGTGTGCCTCTCCGAGCTCCAAAACCGGTTTACGTTTATGGCAGCAGTGTTTCCCCCCCCCCCCCCCCCCCAGCATTCGTGATATCCAATGTAAACCAACGGCCATCAACACGGGACATTTGTGT